CTTTCCACACAGACATAAGGACCCTGAGCTAATGGTGGAAACAAGAACCACAAGAGCCCCACACCTCCAGCCTATTCTATTTGCCACAACAGAAGATACACAAAGCAGAAATCATCAAATGTGGACTAGAAAGAACTTAAAAACAAAAAGCCAGTTTTTCAGGTGAGAAACCAGAGGCTTAGGTGTAAACCAGTTCAAAAAGAAAGAATACTTAGAATCTTTTTCCAGCTCAGGTCTTATTCAGGACATGCCTAGGAAGCCAAGCCCTTATATAGACCTGCACACCTCACCCTAGAGCTGAGGACCGAACCCAAGTGCTCTACCACTGAGCTAAATTCCCAAGCCCCTAAATATCACTTCTTGCACAAACCTGACATAACAGTTCAACATGAATGCCGTGCTACAGCCATTAGGTCAGAATTTATGACGGTTCAGGGAGCTAAGAAATGCAGAAGAGTTCTTCCTAGCTCAAGGAGGCATGCTCTTCCACAGCTCTAACTCTATTTCTCTATGCTGAGGTAAAATTGGTTACTGTGATGCTTCAGACAATGTGTAGTAAAAGTACTTTCTCAGCCATAAAGGCATACATGCCTAAAGTTCTGAAACAAACAAAACAAAGAACAAAGGCAAAAAGCCCTGACCTGTGGAGTTTATCAAGAGATTAAAGTATCATTTTCTGGAGAGTCCAATAAGAAACACACTGTCCCTTGCTCTAAGGTTTCTGTGATGGCGCCTCCCACTTACCAGACAATGTTCCTCGTTCTTCAGTATCACTGTCACTATCCACGATGTCATTATGCTTTTCGATGTCAGCCAAAGACTGGCCATAATGAGTCAATTCTTCATCTTCATTTAGGTTGTAGATGTTTTTTTTCTCATGATGTCGCTTGGCAAAAAAGGGGTAAAATCAGTTACCTAAAATTGTTACATTTATTTTCTAGAAAATTAGTTATTTTCCACTATATGTGAAATATGAAATACAACACAATCAGTCTGAAAAGTATTCTGGACATTTGAAAGATGATTGAAATATATGCAAAACTTGTTGAGAAAATTCCTAAATAAGTCAATGGACTAGGCTAAGCTACTAATCAATCAGTTGTCCCCACTGGCAATGGTCCTCCACTCTCTTGTTCTCCATCCAATAAAGCCGAAGGCAGGACCTTAGTTAACAACTCCAGCACCAGTCACTACTTACTTTTCGTTCTGGTTAAGGTATTTATCTCCTGTTAACCAGTATCTCTTGAAAGTATCTTCCTCTTTGTCTACCCAGATGAGACATACCACCCAAGATATATCCCCTGTACCTGGCAGGTTAACCTTGGCTTGCCTTGGGTTAACTTTACAGCAGACTTTCCCCACATTTTTTCCATACCTGTTGCTCCAGAGCAAACCTCTTCATCATCTTTTCCTCTGGACTTATGTTGCTATTATACTCCCCAAAGCGTTTATCTGTAAATATGTTGGATTTGTTCCGTTCTTTGTACTCCTTTAGTAAAGTCTGAGTTCGCTAAAAAAACAAATCATATATAATTAATTCTCAAACAATGTTTCTGAACTTTTCACTAAAGAGGCCACCAGAGGGGCTGTGGAGTTGAGAGCTATACAGTATGATACGGAAGTTCATAGCATGTTTTCATCAATGTTAGGCCTTCCTGAGTTGTGATCGAATTTTGAGAAGAGAAAAATCAATTTACACTTAATAGTACTGAGAAAATCTTTCTCCTCTTTGGCATCTACTTGTCAGCATGAAAGTTGTAGAAGCTGTGTTACAATTTGGCAATATTTGTTGTAGACATGATTGACTTGGAAAAGGGTCTGGATCTCTGCCACAGAGAGGAAGGAGTTTACTTCCCACTAAATATGTCCCAGAGAATACAGAGTTGTGCTTTCATGTGTGAAACTATATCATAATTGAGTTTCCCAACTGGGAGCACAGTTCACTCTTTACACCTTAAAATAGCATTTATTTTGATAATCTTTTTTTTTTTTTTTTTAAGTGTACTGGTATTTTTTCTGCATATGTAATGTATGAAGGTGTCAGATCTTGTGAGCTGCCACATGGGTGCTGGGAACCAAACCCAGGTCCTCTGGAAAAAGTCAGTGCTCCTAACCTCTGAGCCCTTTATCCTAACCTCTAGCCACTTATCTTGATATTCTAAGTACAGCACAACTAATAGCAAGTACCTGAAAATTGGGTATCCTTCTAGTAGCAGTAACAAACACATTCAGTATTATTCAGCCCTAAGGCAAGGCAGGGATGGAGGGGAGCAAGGAATGGCTATGATCTCAAGAGACCAAAGTTTGCTTTATTAGGAACTTTTGCTCTTTGCAGATTCTTTTTTAAAAAACAAACAAACGAACAAACAAACAAACAAACAAACAAAATACACAGCTTCATAGCCCATGCTGGCCTTGAATGTGTCACCTCTGTGGCCAAGAATGCCCCCTAACTGCTGATTTCTAATGCTCCTTCTCTAGAGAGCTAGCACTTCAGGCATGTGCCACCATACCAAGCGTTTCGGCAAAGTTTTTACATTTGCAAACAGATAGTCTCCTCATAAAGACCTCACAAAGACCTGGTGGTTCAAAGATTGATTACAAAATCCCACCAACTTTGCTACTTCCTAGACAGGACTTTCAAAGTTCTTACTCTCTCTATCCCCAGTGGCCATATTTGTAAAAGGAGAGTCACTTTCTTCAAGTTATCTCTAAGAATATTGCATATATTAGTAAGAGATCATTCTGGACAGCCAAGCAGAGTAATTGTTTCAGTGTGTGTTGCCAGGAGAGTACTTGAGTCAGGACTTGGATCTTAACCTTACCTTGTTGATTGGAGGAATTTATATGCCTCAGTGTTTCCAAGTACAAAATAGAGACAGTAATACTTTCCTCATAAAGCTGACTATAAGGGTTAAACTTACATTTCTTTCTTTTTTTTTTTCTTTTGAGACAGGGTCTCTCTGTATAGCCCTGGTTGTCCTGGAACTCAGAGATCTACCTGCTTCTGTCTCCTGGGTGCTAGGATTATAGGTGTGTGCCACCACTGATTGCCTAAACTTAATGTATGTTTCTTAATACAATGCCTAATCTACTATACTCGAACTCTTAACTTTATGAATAGTGTTGACTTTCTAACTAAGTTTGGAAACTGAGGCATAACTAGAAAGTGATGGTTTGGGACTCTCCTTTACCACTACTATACTGAACTGCTACTTCAAAGCACTACATCTAATCAGAGGAAAGAAGGGAACTACAACAGCCATTTTCACTGAAAGGAGCATCACTCAGAAAATACTCTGGGCTGCAACATGGAGCCCATGTGCAGTTATCAAACTTAGGTTCAATTGGTACATCTATTGTCTCTCCAGACATCTCTGAGCTTTTTCCTTCACTATTCTGATACAATATGCCTCCCAACTCAACTCCTCAAAACAGTCAAGCCCACTCACCCTGCAGGGCTTGAATATGAATCTTTTATGAACAATTTTCTGATGTACTCCATTGCTTTCTCCTGACTGTGACCTCTGAAAGTTCTTAGCTTCTACTTCTGATTTCTTCAAATACTTTCATTTCTGATGTGGGTCAAGTACTTGGAAATTCAAAATGAACTGTGATCCTTCTCGTGCATATTAGGGGTCTGCATAAATTTGGGGCCATGGAAAGTGATACTTGAACTGGTACTTTAGCACCTTTGGAAGTTAAAGCAAGTCTTTGAGAAACTGAGTTGCACAAGACAAAACAAGGACAACAAGCTACAGTGAATCTGCAAAGGGATCTGAGGATGACAAGCCAAGCAGCGTATGAACAGTAGTGTTTGGAGACTGCTCTCTCTCCACTAAATGTGCTATTGCACAAAACCCAAGGTTTAACTGGAAAAGGCAGATGTGGCTCTTTTAGAGGCTACATTATTTTATTCCCAAATGCCCCCTCTGCCATCCTTGGCCTACAGTGTATATTGGTGAATGATTAGAGTCGGTCATTTGTGTTTTTCTATAATGCATACATTGGGCTATATACAGAACATGTCAGCTCCTTGCAGTATGGATATTTTACTCAATTCAAAAGATATTTCATTTATTTTAAAGATCTCATGTGAGCTGTAACAAAGGTGAGATTATGAGCTGCGAAGGGCAAAGGCCAAGTCTTACTCATCTCCTTTACAAATATTACCAATAATTCTAACCTATGAATTTTCTCAAAGTAACCATGAATTGATTAAGCAAGGCAGTAAAGAGCACCCCATCCATGACTTCTGCATCAGCTCCTGCTTTGAATTCCCTCAATGATGGGCTATGATATATATAGACGTGTAAGCCAAATGAGCCTTTCCTCCCCAAGTTGCTTTGGCCATGGTGTTTCATTAAAGCAACAGTAACCCTAAATTAGGCAGTCTCCAGGATGTACGCACCAGGAAGTATGCCATTGGACACAGTTCACAGATCCTGGCAGCGCCTCCTTACCTTCCTGATGGCACGGGCGCGGGACACCCCAGGCAGGCCCACATCGTGGCGCGTCTTCCTGCCAAGGATCTGAAACTTCTGCCTGTTGACTTTCACTTCAAATGGGTTTGGGTTAGCTTTCGCCGCCCCTGCAGGCGCTTTGTGGGCTTGCCTCCGCGCCCCAGCCCGCTTCGCCTTCCCCATGACATTCACTCTTGCCACACTTTAAAAGACACTGCCGACAGACCCAGGAGCAGCAAACTGTCCGAAGAAACGCGTGCTGTGATGCAGACCCACCATCAGCCTTATCTCGCGATAGCTGTGTCAGCTTCTGGTACCTCGCGAGAAGTACGTAAGTCGCGCATGACACTGAACAGGAGCGCTAGTTTATTGGATTAAAGACTTCAACTCCCAGGATGCCACACTTCACGACTTCCTGGCGCTTGGCCTTATGGGATCTGTAGTGCCCCGTGAGCTGCCACAATCTCCTCAGACACCGCCCCGAGGGGAGCTCTCGGGCTCCCTCTGGAGGAAAACCGTTAGCCGGGGCCAGGCTGCCGTGCGAGTTACCGGGCAGCTGCGGCGGCGGCGGCTGCTGTCGCCGTCGCCGCCGGAGACGGCTCTCGGGTTAGTGAGCTTCGGGCTAGTGTGGGGTGGGACCCAGCGGAGACTCAGTGCCGTCCCAGGACCCGGCGCTGAGGAGGAAATTACAGCGCCCTGGGCCCGAGCGATAATGCTGGGAGGAAGCTGAGCAACCGCGCGCCGGCGCCGATAGTGGAGTCTCCTCGCCCGAACGTCAACATAGCTAGAGGACTTTCCCCGACTTCACCTGCCCCACGGCGGCGACGGCGGCGGCGGCGGCGGCGGCGCCGCTCCTGGTGGCAGAGGTTGGGACTCCAGAAGCAGCAGAAGAAGCGGCGTAGGCGGCCGCGCTCGACGCCACGGTCGCAGCCACCCAGCATCCAGAAGCCCTGTCCCCCGCAGGACGAGGTATGCGCGGAGGCTGCGGCTGCGGCTGCCCCCGCCGCTGCCTCTGCCCCAGCCCCTGTAGCTCTAGAGTCTCCTCCCGGCCAGTCTCCGTTGCCTGCACCCGGAAAAGCTGGACCTCCGAGGCCGCCCCGCCGGCGGCGTCGGCGGCGGTTAATGGAATTCGAGAACATCATGGCCAACACTCTGCTACTGAAGGCTCGTCAAGGTGGGTGCATCCCAGGCGCACGGTCTCCCTGCAGGTAGTGCTTTCTAGGAATTCCAGTCCTTCAGAGAATCCTGATCTCGGTGGGTCGTGCACATTGTCCTCTTAACGGAGCTTTTATCCCACTGGAACCAATTCTGTGTTCGTGTTGCTGCTTGCCCTGGTGTCAGCAAGTGGTCCGTCTGGGCTAACCTTTGTTGTTTTGAAAAAGCAGCGCTTGCTTAAAATGCAGTAGGGGCTGAATTCCATTCCATCCTCAGCATTGCTAATCTGAAAGACAAGAGTATGGAAAGGTTTGAAATGCATACTTCCTAGAATTTCTGGATTATCCAGGCAAAGGTACCTGGGACGGAGATGCATGAGAATTTTAAACGTGTTCATTTCACAGAACTCCGACTAGTACATTCTTTGAGAAAAACTAATGAGTAACAGAAATGTTTTTGATCCTTGTTTTTGTTTGTTCCTTTAAAAAATTGTTTGTAGCACCATTAAAAGTCCATTTATGTCCCAAGTGCTTTTCAGGAGGAAGAATCAACACTGGAATTCTTCAACACTGGAAACCTAACCTTAAAAAACCTTTCCAAAAAAAGAAACGTTTTAAGAAATTCCTGAAGTTGTAGTGAGTGGTGTCTAGAATTAGATACCAAAGGAAGCACTTTGAAACTCCTGTGAGTAAAGAGCAGTGAGAGGTGGCTGAAGCAGGAAGATCCTAAGTTCAGTGGCAGTCTAAGCTTCATAGCATGTCTTCAAACTTACTGAGTAGTGGAGGCTAGAGGTATAGTCAAACAAACATTTGCGAAAAAAAGAAAAAAGTTATCACCCTTTCAATGTTTGTGCGTAATAATACTATTTTGAATAGAAGAACTAAGAATGAGTGGGAAGAGAACCAGGGCTTGGCTTTTTTTTATAAGGCAGCTAAGAAAGACTGAGAAATATGCACTCTTTTCTCTCTCAGTAGAACATTGACTGTTCAACTTGTCCCTCACTTCAAACTCTAAATTGGTCCTGGAAGGAGCTCCTTAATGGAAATCAGATCTGAACAATTTTAGGTGTTTCTTCCCTTTCTACCTTCATATCTGGGTACAATGTCTGAAAAATGGGAATATTACAATGTTGCAGAGATTAGATAATGGTATATCCTCTTTTTAGAGACAGGGTTTCTCTAGTACCATTGGCTATCCTGAACTCACTTTGTAGACCAGGGTGGTCTGGAATTCAAAGAGATCTCTATCCCTTTGCCTCCCTGAGTGCTGGGACTAAAGGCATGTGCCAACACGCCCAGCTTGGTGTATCTATTTTAAAAACCCACAAGAACCTGGGTTCAGTCTCCAGCCTTTATGCAAAAAGCCAGGGCATGATGCTTATAATTCCAGCCTTGGAAAGGCAGAGACGGATAGATGCCCTGAGGACTTTCTGATTAGCCATTTTAGCATAACTGGCAAGCCCAAGTCCTAACAAGAAATGCTATCTCAAAAACAAGATGGGACCTTGGGTGATCGTCTGTTGGTAAGGTTCTTGCTGCACAGACACGAGGACCAGAGTTCAGATCCCATGCACCCTCATATGTACTTGATGAAGTGTCAACAAGGAGATAGAATAACTGTCAACTATAACTGTAAACCCTGTGTGTTTGGGTACACACACACACACACACACACACACACACACACAACACACATATATACCTACCTCCTTGGGGTTGGTTCTCAATCGTTCTACCAGATCCTTCACTGACCGAACCTAGCAATTAAGTCCCCAGCACCATAGAGAGACAGAGTGGGAGAGAGACAAGCAAAGCCTACCATCTAAACTTGTTCCCTCACTTGCCCAGGATATGGATTTGGGATTTTCCACAGATGTAGGAAAACCATACCCTCAAAAAGGAGGAAAGGAATACTGAGCCCTATTCACGGGCCTGATATCTGTCTAGATGAATAAGCCCATTTAAACTCCACAGGAGCAATCTCTCTAGAAGCCAGAGGCCTGAGATCTTAGAAGTCACCTGTCCATGAATACCATGACAAGGAAGCAGTGTACTTAGACTCAGTGGCAACCTTGTCCTTCTTGGGTATACCTGTGAAGATCAGACCATCTTTGCTGGATGATGGATCTAGTCTGTGTGGCATGGCCTTCTTACATTAGGGATGTGGCTGCCGCTGAAGCAGTACCATTCATTTACACTAGCAAATGCTTATTAAATGTTTATTTTTATTTTTAAACATTTTTATGATTTTTTTAATTTTGTGTTCATTGTTTTGCCTGTCTGTGTATCTGTGTGCAAGTGTTGGATCCTCTGGAACTGGATTTACAGACAGTTGTGAGCTTCCATGTAGGTGTTAGAAATTGAACCCAGGTCTACTGAAAGAGCAGTCAATGTTCTTAACCACTGAGCCATCTCTTCAGCCCCCTAATTTTTTATTTTTTATTTAATTTAATTTATTATTATTACTATTTTGGTGTTTTAAAAGATAGGATTTCTCTCTATAGCCTTGGCTATCCTAAATTCACTTTGTAGACCAAAGTGGCCCCAAACTCACAGAGATCCACCTGCTTCTACTTCCCCGTGTGCTGGGATTACAGGTGTGTATCACCTCGCCTGGTTGCTAATTTTTTATTTTTACTTTTTAAAAAGATTTATTTATTTATTACATATACAGTGTTCTGCCTTCATGTCCACCTTCACACCAGATCTCATTACAGATGGTTGTGAGCCACCATGTAGTTGCTGGGTATTGAACTCAGGACCTCTGAAAGAGCAGATAGTGTTCTTAACATCTGAGCCATCTCTCTAGCCCTATTTTTATTTTTTATACTTTAAGGCAGACTTTGTTGGGGAAAGTAGTGAATGTTTTGAACATGTTAACGTAAGGTGTTCTGGACAGTGGGCTTGTTGAATTCAGAGCTTGTAGTCTTGAGATTTGTAATAGAGTATGTGAGGAGCACAGATGATTGAAAGAGCTCTTGGGCCTATACCTGCCTCCTCTGTTGTAGCAGAGCTTTCTCCTGAGCTTGGTCAACGTTCAATGTTCTCACAGTTTAACAAACCACTGCGTTGCAGACAGAGCTCACCAAATCTCAAGGAAATTTGGCCTTCCTCCCAGTTTTCTGAGTCTTAGTTGACACTTAAGCTACATTACACAATTGGATGAAAGTCTCTCAGAGTGTTTAAGATTAAAGATTTGATTTCTCTGACTTAAGGAAAGTTTCAGTTATAACAGGTCTTTTAAAAACATTGCCGGTTAGCTCTTTGTCCATTCCAGTTCCATCATGAGTGCCCTTGTGCTAGTTAGGGTTACTATTGCTTTGATGAAACACCATGATCGAAGCAACTTGGGGAGGAAAGGGCTTATTTCAGTTTTCACTTCTAGGTGACAATCCATCACTGAGAGAAGTCAGGGCAGTAACCTGGAGGCAAGGCTGATGCAGAGGCCATGAAGGAGTACTGCTTACTGGCTCCTTCCTCTTGGCTTGCTCTGCTTGCTTTTTATTTTATTTATTTATTTTTTTGGTTTGTTTTCTTAGAGACTGGGTTTCTCTGTGTAGCCCTGGCTGTTCTGAAATTCACTCTGTATACCATGTATACCAGGCTGGCCTCAAACTCAGAGCTTTGCCTGCCTGTATCTCCTGAGTGCTGGGATTCAAGGTGTGTGCCACCACTGCCTGGAACAAACACCTTACTGTTAAGCAACAACCTTCCCTTTCTTGTTTATCCCCGAGATCACACATTAATGAAGATATCATGTGGAGGAATTTTAATTCAGAACCTGGCTGCTCTGGCAAGAGATCACATCCAAAGACCTTCTAGGTCTCTGTGATCTGGTTGGAATACAGAAATGCCTTTAATCTAGGATACAGGCAAGCAGATCTCTGAGTTCAAGGCCAGCCTAGTATAGAGCAAGTTTCAAGTAAAGAAAAGCTTAGGTCCAGGCATGGTACATTCCAAACAATGAAGGTAAAGATAGTTTGTAGAAGGAAGCATTCATGTTTGAAAGTGATGCCTAATTGAGTGGCAGAAAAGGTGATGAATCAGAGAAAGATTTGACACAATAGGATGCGCCCACCTCTCAGAGAAGAGAGAGGAATGGGAAGCTACATAATAGGCAATGCAGAGAGAGAACTCATGTGAAGGCTGAATGAGCCAGAGAGAATGAGAAGGATCCAGGAGATTAGAGCAGATTGCTAGAGACAGTTTGAGGCCAAGCAAAGCAAATTCAGGTGCCAAGAAAACAGCCAAATTGAATAAATCAGCTAGGAGAGGAGTTTGAGCCAGAACAGCTAGCTCAGAACCAGCCAGCTCAGAGCTCAGTAAGAACAAGAAAGGGTGAGCTTAAGTCTCAGAGACTGAAAACATTCTAGGACAGGTTAGATGGTACGGAGGCTAGAAGCTTCCAGGACTAGGCCTAGGTTAGCAGAAGGAGGCAGTAAGCCCCTAAGACAATATCACAATATAAAACATTTTACAAACTTAAAGTCATACAGCCTTTAAACATTCAAACACTTAAAATGCAGTCTTTTAAAAAATACTTATTCTCTTAAAAATCTAAAGACTTTTGTGGTCTCTTTTTGGAGCTCCTGTCCTCTCCAGGTCTTTCTATTTCTTCCTCCTTTCATAAAATTCCATGCATTCTGCCCAAAATTTGGCTGTGAGTCTCAGCCTCTGCTCGATACTTTGATCAGTGGAGTCTTTCAGAGGCTGTTTGTGGTTGGCTCCTGTCCTGTCCCTGTCTTCTCCTGCTTCCAGTGTCTATCCCCTTTGCCATTCTGAATGAGAATTGAGCCAAAAAAAACTGGGTCCTGGCAGCCCTGCAGAGATTGATAACCCAACCAAGGACAATGCATGGAGAGGACCTAAAAACCCTTGCTCAGATGTAGACCATAGACTCAATCTCCAAGTGAGTTCCCTAGTAAGGGGAGCAGGGGCTGTCTCTGACATGAACTCAGTGGCAGGCTCTCTGATCACTTCGCCCTGGGGGGTGCCACCTTGCCAGGCCACAGAGAAGACAGTGTAGACAGTCCTGATGAGACCTGATAGGCTAGGGTCAGATAGAAGGGGAGGAGGTCCTCCCCTATTAGTGGACTAGGGGAGGGACATAGAGGGGAGAAGAGGAAAGAAGGGCCCACAGCCGGCATATAAAGTGAATAATAATTAATAAAAAATGAACAAAAATCCAAAGACTTTAAAAATATAATGTTTCTCAACTGTGGGCTCCTATAAAATAAAAAATAAATCAAATACTTTCTTACTTCAAGAGGGAAGAACCAGAATACAGTCAAAACAAATCAAAGCAAAGCTAAATTTGAACGGTGTAAATAACTCAATATCTAATGTGCGGTATCAACTCAAGATTTTTTGGGTTCCTCCAAAGGGCTTGGCTAAGTTTCTGGCCCACTCTCTGCAGCTTGTCTTTGAGGTTCTGGCTGGCTCTACTCCACTGTTAGCTGATGCTCTTGGCAGCCATCCCATGGTTCTGGCATCTCCAAAACTGCTGGGGTCTCTTGCTGCAGCCAGGCTGTACTTTCACCAGTAGCCTCTCCTGGGCTGTCTTCAGGGACTCCAGCCCTGCCACACAGTACCAAGCCTTAGCTGCTCTCCATGACCTTTCCATGCTGTCAAAACCAGTACCAGTTGTGTGACTTACACTGCCAAGTCCAGCTGCCAGCACAAGGTACAGCCTTGGCCACTTCTGGAGCACAGCTTCTGTGTGCTGGCCTTGAAACACTTCCCAGAAGACTACACCTCAGTGATGCTGGTCTCTTAATTATAGCTTACTCTTCAGTCCCAACTAACCAACATCTATTCAAAGCAAAGGTTTTACTTTAGTAGTTCCGGTCTTTTGTTAATTACAGCAATTTGGCCACAACAGATTCTTCACACAAATGGTCTTGTAGAGTCTTTGCTTTAGAAGTTTCCCTCTAAAACTTCACAAAACAGGCTTTCATTGTCTGTACTGCTCTCAACATTATCTTCCATGCTCCTACAGAACAGCTCATTGAGCTCTTAACACTCTATAGTTTTTCTAGCCCAAAGTTCCAAAGTTTTTTCCACAATCCTCCCCAAAGAAACATGGTCAGGTCTGTTACAGCAATACCACACTATCCTTGTACCAACTTCTGATCTAGGTAGGTTTACGATTGCTATGATGAAACACCATGACCAAAGGGGAGGAAATGGTTTATTTCAGCTTAAACTTCCAAATAACAATCCATCAATGAGGGAAGTCAGAACCTGGAGACAGGAGCTGATGCAAAGGACATGGAAGAGTGTTGCTTACTGGCTAGCTCAGCCTACTTTGTTAGAGAAACTGGGATCACCAGCCCAGGGGTGGCCACAATGGGCTGGGCAATTACTAACTAAGAAAATGCACTACAGGCTTGCCTACAGGCTGATCTTATGGAGGCTTTTTAAAAAATTGACATTCCTTCCTCTCAGTTGACTATAGTTTGTGTCAAATTGACACAAATAGCTAGCACAGCCCTCTTCCCAAGTCTTCTAAAGGCTTTGCCCCATGTTCAAGTCTGTCTGCATGTGATCTTTACAGGGAGGTCTCCTTTAATGCTACCTAATCACAATAGTATCTTCCACCTTTTCCCTTCAAAATTTCCCTTCAATTTTATTTCATATTTTTTACATTTATAATATTGACTAATTTTTTCTAATCACTTATTATTGTATGGCTTATTCATCTTCTCTCCCAGCATGGTGTGGTGGCACATGCCTGTAATCCCAGAGGCAGAGACAGGCGGATCATTTTGAGTTCGAGGACATCCTGGTCTACAAAGTGAGTCCAGGACAGCCAGGGATACATAGAGAAACCTTGTCTTGAAAAACCAAGCCAAATCAAACCAAACCAAACAAAAAGAACCAACTTCTCCTCTCTCTTACTTAGGATATAGGGGGGTTGGGCTGGAGAGATGGCTCAGCAGTTAAGAGCATTTGTTTCTCATGCAGAGAACCTAGATTTGTTTCCTAGCACCCACAGTGTGGCTCATAACCTTCCATAATTCCAGTTTCAGGGGATTTGACACCTTCTTATGATCTCTATGGATTCCAGGCATGCACATGGTGCAAGTATATAAATGTGGGCAAAATAATGATATGTAAAATAAATCTAAAAATTTGTTAAAAGAATATAGAGGGTGAACTTTATAATTGTTTTGGGGGATAGAACACAGGCATCTGTGCTCGTATATACTCTCATAACTGAATTCTACTTCCACCACAGACTGTGTAGTTTCTTAAGACTTAAAAAAAAATATTGTATGTAAGTCTCTGCCTGGCTCTATAGTGTGTGTGTGTGTGTGTGTGTGTGTGTGTGTGTGTGTGTGTGTGTGTTGTGAAGTGTCTATAGAGGCTAGAAGAGGATATCGGGTCTCCCGGAGTTGGAGTTATAGGCAGTTGTGCTACTGAATGTGGGTGCTGGCAGTAAAACTCAGGTCCTCTACAAAAGAAGTATGCATCTTTAACTGCTGAACGCTGTCTCCCACCACAGTTTTTCTTTTCTTAATTGACCCCTGCATTTCCAGTACTTTGAAGATATTTGACATATGGTGGGTGTTTGGTAAATATTATTTAAAAATAAATACATCTGCTAAACCAGTGTTTATAAGTAGCACTGTACAGTGTGTCATGTGGGATCTAGTTTATAAATTTGGAAATGGAGACTGGAGACTGAGGAAGTTTATACTTCATGAAGCTGATGTCTAGTTGAGGCAAATTATTACAAACTTTATTCATCTTATGTAACCAATCTATTTACTCAAATGGTAAGGTATGTTAAAGACAGTAGCATTTACAATACGATATTTTTGACTATGAAAAAAGTATTTTCTATTGTATATTCTCTATATATGTTTTAATAAAGAAAGCTTTTTTTTTTTTGGCTAGGTGTGATGTTATAGCTGTGTAACTCTAACATAAAGGATGTTAATACAGAAGGATCCAGAATTCAAGGCCTATCTGGACTACATAGTGAGACCCTGTCTCAAAAGCAAAAACAAAGCACAAATTGAAATATAAATTTTTTTTTTTTCAAATTTAACAGGATTTAGCAAAAAGACTGGTCGTAGTAAAAAATGGAAGGAACTCCTGAAGTTGCCTCCAGTCAGCCAATGCAATGAGCTAAGATCCTCCATCGGTAAGTAAGTAGCGCTTTCTTGTGTCTGACACCGCATCACTACTTAGATGTCACTAGTTCTTCAGGTCTATATTTGCGTTAGAAATTTTCTAATAAATTATCTGCATAAATTCATTGGTCTTTTGTGTGTAGGAGAGATTTTAGATTTTCTAGAGTGCAGTTATGAAAGATTATTGCAGACTTTTTCATTAACAAAAACCAGTATATATTGAGGCTACAGAGTTGGCTTAGTGGTTAAAGGCACTTGCTGCTCTTGCAGAAGACTCAGGTTTGGTTCCCAACATCCACATTGTGCTCACAACTGTCTGTAGCTCCCAATCTAGACATCCTCTTCTGGCCTCCTCAGGCTCTATGCACATGTGCACAAACATATGTGCAGGCAGAGCACCCATACAACTAAATTAGAAACAAATTAATCTTAAAAAATTTTAAAAATGTCTCTTTGCACAACAGTGCAGTGCCTGTGGAGACCAGAAGAGAGTGTTGGATATCCTGGAGCTGATAATTATGAATTATGAATTACAGTGTCTGGGCTAGAAATTGATTGACTCCAAGTCCAAGTGTCCAAGCTGATGTAGGTAGTTATCATGACCACAGCCGAGTCCCATTTTGGTACCTCTTTTTGGCTTGTCTGTTTCATGGGCCTTGAAGGCCAGAAATCTAGGGCTACCCATTTTCAAAGCATTCTTGGCTTCTGAGACTGCTGTCCAAATAACTCAGAAGGAGAAAGTAACAGTCTCTGCATTCTTACTATCCTGGCTCGGGCCCAGCAAGTGTTAGGTTACTAAGAGGAAACGTGTTGAGGGAAGTGTTGAGGGAGCACATGGTGTCCTCCTAGGGAAATGTGAAATGGTGAAAGTGCTCTAGATCTCAGAGTACAATGTGCATGAGATAGAGACAGGGCCCTGTAGTGCTTGATTTTAAACTGTTTTATTTGGGGTTCCTTAAAGCCTCTCCCTTCCAACTCCCTAGCCCTAAGTAGGAGAGAGAAGGTTAGTGGGAAGAGGGGCACAGACCCCTTTACTTCTCCCGGCTGTTTAGGATCAATGGGTTCTTTTAGGGCTCTAAAAGATCTCGTAAAGAGAAAAGGCAGTCGGCAGTCTCCTCCAAGCTGTACTGGAAGCGTTTCTCTCTGTCAAACCACACCGTTTGTGTTGTCTTTTTAAACTGCTACGTGCCACACTTGCTCTTTCCGGGCTCTCCTTTTTATATTCGCAAAGCCCTATACCACGCCTCTCTCTATGCTGCAGTGCTGCACAAGGCACAAGGTAGGCCATTACCAGCTGGCAAAAGCCATGCCCCATGCAAGTTCCTCTGGGCTTAGACATTTCAGGGTACCGTCCAGATTTTCTCCTTTAGGTGGAGACAGAGTCTCTCTTTGAACTGACCTAACCTTAGAGAATTAAATCACTAGTTGATAGTGACTTAAAAATAAATAAATAAATAAATAAACAAACAAACAAACAAATACATAAATAAATAAATGTGCACAGTTCAATCCTTTCTTTAGATATATTTTTTGAGATGTGCATTTATGTAGGCCATGCTGGCCTGGAGCTTGCTATGTAGACAAAAATGACCTTGAACTTCTGATCTTGCTTTTGCCTCCCAAGTGCTCAGATTATGGACTTATACTGCCATACATGGTGTATATAATGCTAGGGATGGAACCCAAGGGCATTGTGCATCTTATATAAGCACTCTGCCTACTGAACTTAATCCCAAGCTCCCATGCCTAGACATTTCCATGCTTAAACCCAATGATCTAAAACTGGAATGGTTTAGACTTCCAGAATTACTTGATATTAATCAGCTCTTTTCTGGAGGGATTTGCTATGGTTTGTTCACTTAACTTTAGAGTTACTTTTGGAAAACCAACTAATCAGGGCAGGAACTCAGGATAGGAACCTGAGGTAAAAACTGAAGCAAAGGCTGAAGAAGAAAGCTGTTTACTTTGAGTCATGTGTTTACATAAGCTTGCTTTCTAGGGCTTGCTCAGTTTTCTTTCACGTATACCCAGGAGTGGAACAACCCACAGTGAGCTGGGTTCACCCATATCCATCATTAATCAAGAAAATGGCCTATAGACTTATCTATGGGCCAATTTTATGAGATGTTTTCAATTAAGATTTACTCTTCCTGGGACTGGAGAGATGGCTCAGTAATTACAAGTGCTGGTTGCTGTTACAAAGGACCTGGGTTCAATTCCCAGCATCCACACAGTGGCTCACAAACATCTGTAAGTGCAATTTCAGGGGATCCAGTGCACTCTTCTGACTTCCAAGCATTTATACACATAAAATAAATCTAAGTAAGATTTTCCTCTTCCTAGTTACGTCTAGTAAGATTTGTGTCCATTTGACAAAAACTAACTAGTGTAGCCATTGCTAGGGAGTAGCTCCTCCCCACCTCCACATTTTTTTCCTTCCCTCCATTCCCTTCCTTTTCCTTTTCCTACCTCTCCTCTCACTCCCTCTCTTCTTTTGTTTTTAATAAGCGTACAAAATAATGGTCCTGTGCAGTAAAGGACTACTGGTCTTTATTCCCAACATTCAGGAGGCAGAAGCAGAGGTAGGTGGATCTGTCAGTTTGAAGCTACCTTGGTCTAAGTTGGAAGTTGCAGGCCAGCCAGGACTACTTAGTGAGACTCATAACAAACCAACAAAGTAATTGTTACATTTTAAGCCATGTATATCATTAGATTTTGTTCTTATTTGCCTTCCCTGCTACTGAACATTTCTTGCGGAAGGTTGACTTGTTCTAGACATGCTTTTGTTTTATTTTCTTTTTGACCCAATGCTGGGACATTAGGGCCTTATTCTCAGAACAATATTGTTGAGGTAAGGAGAGGCAAGGGATACAATATTTTTTATGGAAAAGAAAAAAAAAAGTAACCATGAAAGGGGAAGTTAAAATCATTAATCATAAAAGCACAAACAAATCAGTAAACATAAATATTTTAAATTTTCTTTGCAAGTATAAAAAATATGGATGTTTTTAAAGTTCTGACTTAGTACATTGCTACATATGCAATATTCTAGATACCCATGGTGGATGCAGTCATAGAAAGTTCCTTTATGCTCCTGTCTTCCTGGTAGATGGCCACCGTCAGGGCTTGTCCATCTCCTACATATTTCATTGTAGAGAAGAACAGTCTGTTTCAAGTTAGGCTTTGCAAATCCTTACAAGTTCTAGTTGTCTTTGGCTCTGCCTGAGTGTTGGTTGATTGGTTTTATTTCTTGAGAGAGGGTCTCATCACGTAACTCAGACCGGCCTTCAATGACTAAGCCTCCAGAGTGCTGGGGTTATAAGCATGTGCCACCACAATCAGTTCTGCCTGTTTTGTTCTGGATTGTTTATTTATTTATTTATATTTGTGTGTATTATGTGTTTGTACATGTTTGTGTATGTGCATGCGGAGGCTGGATATTAGGTGTCTTCCTTGATCATTCTCCACCTTATTTTTTGAGACAGAATCTCTTGTTGAACCTGAAGCTTGGCAATTCAGCTAGAGTGTCTGGCAAGTGAGCCCCTGGAATCTGCCTGTCTTCACCTCTTCAGCCCTGGGATTACAAGAACACCCACCATGCCCAGGTTTTTATGTGGGTGCTGGGTATATGAACTCAGATCCTCATGCTTTTGTAGTAAGCACTTTACCAACTCAAACATCTCTCCCAGCCCCTGCTTGTGTCTTTTAAAGGCGATAACTCAATTTAAATTAGTAAACAGAACAGTAGTTTAGAAATAATAATATAAATACTATTTTTGATTTTCATTGTATTAAGTGAAAATAGAATGTAGATTCAGAACAGCTTTTAGTGGGTAGTAACTACTATGTTTATTTCTCCCTTTTACCCAGAAAAGGATTTTATCAGCCTTTGTGACAAGCAGCCAATGGGAAGGCTTCTTTTCAGACAATTCTGTGATACAAAACCAGATCTAAAGAGGTGCATTGAATTCTTGGATGCAGTGGTAAGTAATTCATTTCAGGATTGCACTGTCCAACTTTGTGCTTTTTAATATTAAAAACTGGATCTGGCAGAGTTGGTAGTTGTCTTGATGTCCTATTTCCCTCCTTCTCTCTATTTTTGAGGTAGATTCTCATTGTGTAGCCCACACTAGCCTAGGCCACACTTGGTAGGTCAGGGCTCATACAATGTAGCCTGACCTGGCCCTAGACTTGTAGTAGTCCTTTTGCCTCAAACTCCTGATTGCTGTGCACATTCTTCCTGGTTCCTGATGAGTACTTTTTGTATATGAAAAAGCAGCAAGGGATGAAAACTTCTCTTTATCTTTCTCCTTTAAAAAAAATTATGTGTAAATACCTGCATGTTTGTGTGGATTTGTGCCATATATATGTCTGGTGTCCCTGGCAGCCAGAAGATGCTTCTTTTGGAACTGGAGTTACAGGTTATTTTTTGCCACCATGTGAGTTCTGGGAACTGAACCTGGGTCCTTAGCAAGAGCAGTAAGTGTGCTTAACTGCTGACCCATCTCTTTAGCCCTGATTTCTCCTTTTTTTTTTTTTTAAACATTTTTTAAAATAATTTATTATTTTATGTGCATTGGTGTGAGGATTTTAAATCCTTTAGAATTGGAGTTACAAACAGTTGTGAGCTGCCATGTGGATGCTGGGAATTGAACCTGGGTCCATTTGAGGAAGAGCAGACAGGGCTCTTAACCACTGAGCCATCTCTCCAGTCCCCCTGATTTCTCCTTTTTATTCAGCCTGGGACTCCAGCTTGCGGGATGGTATCATCTACCCTTAGGGTAGGTCTTTCTTGCTCAGTTTATTCTTTCTAGAAACACCTTCATAGAAACATCTAGAGATAAATTTCCATGGTGGTTCTAAATCCAGTCCAAACTGACAATGAAGATTAACTCACCCACTCTCACTGACATAAGGACCAAGATTAGCTTTACATTCTTGTAGAACTATTTAAATGTAACCCATAGAACTGCTCTCTGGTTCTGAGGGTACCATGTCAGTTCATAGGTCAGATGATATAAAGCATTATGAAACACTGTTGGTAAGTAGGTCACTAATCTTTATCTTTTCCCTAATTTCTCTAATCAGGCAGAATATGAAGTTACCATTGAAGAGGAACAAAGAGAATTTGGGCTATCCATCATACAGAGATTCTTCAAAGAGGTATGGTTTCTTCCTTTTAATAAAGATTTTTGTAAGTTACCTAAAGTGTGTGTTTCTGTTGTTTGTGTGTTTTTACTTTTTAGATAAAATATAATAAATGTATTAAAGCTTTTAATTTCTTACAGATGCTTCTCTTTTGTGTTTTGTAGATTAAGAAAAAAATAAGAAACCTTGTAGAAAATTCAAAGAATTTGTTTCCTCAAGTAGAACATAAAAAATTTTATTTGCCTAACTTGAATTAAAAGTAACATCTTTCCTAAAAGTTTTTATAAGTCTTAGTTTTTATTCCTTCTTTTAAAACATCAATTTATTTGTTTGTTTACTTTTATTTTAGTTAGATTCATCCATATTCACATAGCACAGATCTCTCTATATATAGCACTGGCTGACCTGGAATTTTATGTGCATACAGGCTAGCCTCAGATTCACAGGACTGCTGAGACTGCCTTGAGGACTGTTGCTGAGATTCAAGGAATGTGCCCCTATGCCTGACCAAATCCCTTATGTTTTAGTATCTTTACCTCAGAGACTGTTCTTATACATTTCTGTTAGTCTGTGTTGTTGGTTTTTTTTTGTTGTTGTTTGTTTGTTTGTTTGTTTTTTAGCACATCACAATCCTTTTTTAGGTTTCTGGGGGTTTGTTTTTGTTATTTTAAAAAATACTGAGTGTTTTGTTTGCATGTTTGTCTGTGCATCACACATGTGCTTGGTGCCCACAGAGGTCAGAGAATGACATTCAGTCTCAGTCATGGGACCAGACAGTTGTGAGCTGCAAAGTGGGTGCTGGGATTTGAACCTGGGTTCTCTGGAAAGCAGCCACTGAGTGCTCTTAACTGCTGATCCATCTCTCCAGCACCAGTTTTTATTTCTTTTGATTTGCTAGCTATGTCCCAACATGTTAGATTGTTCACTTGCCACAAAGAAAGGAATTTTAATGGTGAAAAGACAAGAAAGGATTTTAATAAAAATAGACATTCAGGCCATTTGTGTAATGACATGAATTTTAGGTTTAACTAGAGGAAGAACTGGGGCAGGGAGCAAGGGGCAAGGGGAATGTATAATGAAGTCATGCTATGATCTGGCTGGTTGATCATTGTCTCAGTTCTGGTATTATTGAATGACCTCAGACAAATTCTTACTACTTGAGGGGACATTCTATTTCCAGTGATGACTGCTCTTATTTAGGCGTGGGGCATCTTTTTTTTTTTTTTTTTTTTAATCATAGGGTAATATGTCAGAAAGGCTTGGCCATTCCTGCAAATCAGGTGACTGCAGGTTTAGGACAATGTTTGGGTCTTTTGGGATTCCTTCTGTGCACTAGACATTGGAAAAGTTGTTGGTAGAATACTCTTTCTGCTTTCATTCTTAAAGAGAGATGAGGCAAGCTAGGTATCAATGATTATCATGCCTATATGTAGAGTTAAACAGAATCTGAACCAAAGTAAAAGAGAGATACAAAATGAAGTAAAAAAATGCCAGGCTTTTATTGTGCTGTTAGTTACCTTTTGTTTTTGGAGGTTTTTAATTTTTTTTTTAAAATATGAGGAGTTTTGTTTGATACAAGGTCTTACTATGTAGCCCTATCTGTCCTGAAACTTGTTCTGTAGACCAGGCGGGCCTCAAACTCACAGAGATGTACCTGCCTGTGCCTCCCAAGTACTGGGATTAAAGATGTGTGCCACCAGCTGGGCAGTGATGGTGCACACTTTTAATTCCATTTCTTGGGAGGTAGAAGCAGGCAGATCTCCATGGGTTGGAGTCCAGCTTGGTTTACATAATGAGTTCTGTCCAGGCCAGCCAAGACTACATTCTGAAACCCTGTATCAAAAAATATCAAAAGAGAAGAAAAAGACACACAAAGTTTAAAGATACTATTTAGAGAAGGGCAAAAAGAGAATGTAGGAAGGGTCAAGGCAGTGCTCTAGACTAGCAGTTACAACCTGTGGGTTATGACCCCTGGGAGTCAATCAACCCCTTCGCAGGGTCATCGAAGACCACTGGAAATATTAGATATTTTACATTATGATTCATAACAGTAGCAAAATTACAGTTATGAAGTAACAACAAAAATGATTTTATGGTTGGAGGTCACCACAACATGAGGAACTGTGTTAAAGCCCACAAGCATTAGGAAGGTTGAGAACCATTGCTCTAGACAGGCATTAATCCATTCATGATGGCTCTATACTCATGTACTTAAAGATCCTAGATCCAAATATTATTAAAATGCCAGTGAAATAGTTATTTTTTAAAGCTTTATTTATTATATAGATGAGTGCTCTATCAACATGTATACATGCACACCAGAAGAGGGCATCAGATTCCAGTATAGATGGTTGGGAGCCACCATGTGGGAATTGAACTCAAAACCTCTGGAAGAGGTTAAGTGCCCTTAACTGCTGAGTCATCTGTCCAGCCTCCCAGTTAAATATTAATAGGAGTTTTGGAGAAATGAGATTGTTAATCTACAGCATTTAGTGAAAAATGTTTGTAAATGTCATTTTCCCCCTTTTCTTTTTTTTCATGTCTTTGTGTGTGTGTGTATATTGTATGTGTACATATATGTATTTTCTTGAGTGTAAGTGCACAGGTGTGCATGTGCATGTGGAGGCCTTATTCTAACCCCACCCCCAACACACACACACTGAGGCAGGGTTTCTTTTCGTAGCTCTTGCTGTGTTTGAATTCCATCTACAGATCAGGATGGTCTCAAACTCACAGAGATCTGCCTGCCTCTGCCTCTCCAGTGCTGGGACTAAAGGGTGTGCCATCACCACCTGGCATCTACCTTATATTTTTTTGAGTTATTATCAAAATGAGTGTTCATTATCTATTACCCAGGGTTTCCACATACTGAGATTAAGCCAAGTTTCATTTTTATAATTAGGTAGAATAACTAAAAACTAAGTAGGGTTTTTTGAGATTATAAAACTAGTATAGTGTGCTAAATCAAAGTAATATAATATACAATGTTAGTAGAATAAAATTATAAAACAGACAGAATGGATAATCTACATTCTTTTATAATAAAAGCATAAACCAAACTAGGATATTTTGTTTGCTTTTTGGTTTTCCAAGAGAGGCTTTCTCTCTGTAGCCCTGGCTGTCCTGGAACTTGCTCTGTTGACCAGGCTGGCCTTTAGGCGCAGAGATCTGCCTGCCTCTGTCTCCTGAGTGCTGGGATTAAAGGTGTGAGCCACCACCACCTGGCAAAACTAGGATTGGAATGGAACTTGTTCAGCTTGATAAAAGGCATCTGCAAAATGCAGTTAACATCCATCATCTTTAAATATGAAGGATTACATGTTCTCTTTAAGATTAGGAATAAGACAAGATAGTTTCTTCTTGCTTAAGCTGGTGAGATAGAGGTTTGACTCAAGTTCCTTGGTGTTGGCTCTAGCAAGGGCAGTTAGGTAGTGAAAAGAAGCAGATGTAGTTGCTAGAGAGGTAGCTCATCAGATAAGAGCATTGGTACTCTTTGAGCCACCTGGTTTGGATTCCTATACCCACACAGTGGCTAACAACCATCTGTCACTCCAGTTACAGAAGTGATAGAAGAGAGTTTGATGTCCTCTTCTGGTCTCCAAGAGCACCAGGAACACAGTTGTACACAGAGATATATGCTAGCAAATTACCTATACACATATAACTTAAAAATAAATTTAAAAGAAGGAGTGGAAGTATCTAGATTGGACAGGAATAAGTAAAACTATCTCGCTTTAGATGATTCGATCTTGTATATAGAAAATTCTAAGGGATCTACATATATATAAATAAGAGACATTATTAGAATGAACAAATGAGTTTGGCAAGGCTGATAGGTACTAGACTGTTATACAAAATTTTGTGGTAACTTTATATATTAGCAAGTAAAAACAAATTAAAATAATTCCATTTATATTTTCATTAAAAATGAATAAAATGTTTAGATTTAGCAGAATAAATACAACATTTGTATATTCTGCTGTGGAGTGCTGAAAAAAATTAAAGGATCATCTAAATGAGAAAACATCACATGTTCATGGATCAAAAGACTTAATATTGTTTACATGCTCATATTAAGCTAATTGTTATATGTTTTCAATATATTCACCATCAGATTATTCTGTTCCTTTTGTAGAAATCAGCAAACTTAGTTTAGAATGCATATGTATATTTAAAAAGCCCCAAATACTTGTTGTATTCCTGGGGGTGAAAAATTAAAGAATTCACACTTCTCGGGGCTGGAGAGATGGCTCAGCGGTTAAGAGCATTGCTGCTGTAATGAGGACCTGAGTTCAATTCCCAGCAACCACATGGTGACTCACAACCATCTATAATTGGATCTGATGCCCTCTCCTGTCATGTAGGAATACATGCAAATAGAGCACTCATATAAATACATAAATAAATCACTCTTTAAAAAAAAAAAAGAAGTCACACTTCTCAGGTACAAAGTTACAATAATCAAGACAACATGGTACTTGGGATAGGGTTAGATATACAGGTCAGTGGCGTAGACTAAGAATCAGAAGTAAACCAGTATGCTTACAGTCAATCAATTTATTGTAAAGCTATCAAGATCCCCCAGAATGAGAAGGCATAGTCTTTTCAACAAATGATGCTGGCACAAGTAGAAATCCACGTATTAAAAATGAAGTGGTACTCTTGTTTCACAACACAAGCAAAAAGTAAACTCCAAATGGATGTAGACCAAAGTAAAATAGCCAAAAGTATATAGCTTTTATTATTAGATATTCTAATACTCAAGCTATAAGGAACATTTATAACTTGTTAATAAGAACCCTGAAGTTTAAAAAAAAAATTCAAACTTAAGTGTTTGAGTATTTTGCCTATGTGTATGTCTCATGTGTACCTGGTGCACAACTTCAGAAGAGTGTTGGACCCCTTTGAACAGGAGTTATGAATGGTTGTCAGTCATCATGTGGGTTCTGGGAACCAAACTGGGTCCTGTGCAAGAGCAGCCAATGCTCTTTACTGCTGAGTCATCTCTTCAGCCC